ATTGTGTTGTTGTAGAGGGCAACGTTAGGCCATGACAGAAGCAGGGGGTGCATGCGGTAGCAGAGGCTTAGCTGCACCACAGCTGTTGTTTCGTCTCCCAAGGCGGTGCGCAGCCGGTCGAAGATGGAGAGGCAGAACCCGAGGTCGGCGGCCTTTCTGGAAAGGACGGCGGGGGGGGCTGCTCGGGGTCGCCTACCAGCACCAGATGCCCGCCGGAGCGGATGGCGCTGTCGAGCAGCCATAAGCTCATGGGCTTGCCCTGCCTCGTCGATGAGGAGCAAGGCTACCGGGGCGGCGTTCCTGAGGGCCTCCGCGGATTCGTGCGCTGCGATGATCGCCTTGGCGGCCTTGAGGAGCTGGGTACGGAATGCGGTGAATTCTGTGGAGGATCCGCCTTCGAATGGGGGCCTACCGTGCGCCCTGAGGAAGTGCCCCCCCGGGGTGAGCGGGGCCAGTGCATTCGTCACTCAGAAGTCTTTGGCCAGACGGACGCATCTGTTGGGGTAGCCTGTCCTCTGCCCTAGTCTGCCCGCCTGGTGTGCGCTGCCGAGACCGAGGGCTGGCTGGCCCGCGGCCGTGTTGGAACCTGCAGTCAGCGCCACCGCTTGCCCTTCAGGGAGTGAGTCGGCCCAGGTGTCCATGGTGGCGACGGAGAAGACTGTCTTGCCGGTTCTCGGGGGACCGTGTACGACCGTTACGTGGCGTTGCACGGTGGCAGCAAGGGCCCGCGTGGCGTCGCCGTTGAGCTGGTGGCGCCTAGCGCCTTCATCGAGCGCCACAGTCGAAGGTAGGTCCCTGACCCGTTGAAATACCTGTCCGATTGCATTGTCCACTTCATGGTCGGAGAAGGGGGTGGCGGTCGGTGCCTCGGTCGGGTGTTGCGAGTCTGTCGCTCCGCTGCTCACCACTGTGGGTGGCATCGTGCCAGGGGCCTGGACCCTGATGGTGGCCCTGGCCCTTGAGAGGAAGGTTTGCCCGCAGACTCTGGTATTCTCCACGCTGTTGGCCAGCGTCGTATTCTTCCTGTCGGTAGTGCGGAAGGTGAGGAGGCACGCGATGACGTCGAGTGGCGTGCCCACCAGGTCCGCGGGGGCCTGCTGCAATTTGTAGATCTCGATGATGGAGGTCGAGATCCGCCGGTACTGTAACCGAGGGGTGCCTTGTCCAGCCTGTACCACGCGTCTCCCACTTTGTCCGGCTTTGGGATCCTGTCGTCAGCGTGGAACCTCCCGTATCTGTCTTCGTCGCATGAAGCCAAGGCCTGGTTGCTGCGGCACTTGGCCCCCCGTCTGAAACCCAAAGCATCGCAGTCGTTTGTAGGGATGGCACCACCGAAGTCGGGTGGCCGCAGAAACTTGAGCGAGGCGACCTGGTCCACGGATGGGCCGGTGATGCTGGGGAGTAGCGCGCGGGCTTCCTGCCCTGCTTCCTGCCCCTTGAGAAGGACCTTGAACTCTTGGGGCCATTGCAGGTGCAGCAGCAACTTCCCCTGCTGGGTGAGAAATGCATTCCGCAGCTTGAACTGGTCGAGAAGTAGACAGGGGGACTGCTCGTCGATGGGGGTGACTGCCACGCCTAGCGCGCAGCTCTGCCTTCTAACCAAGTCCGTTCTGGCCTTGACGGAGCCGTCCCAGACGGTTTCGGCGGCTGCCATGCACTCGGCCCAGGCCAGCCTGTCGAGGGTGCGTCCTCTTTGTCGCAGTCTTGCCCCCAATGCCTTGGGATGGTCACTCCCAAGTGGACTGAGCCAGTGGGGGTGTGAAGGAGAAACTGGGCTACAGTGCTGCTGGTGGGCACAGCGAATAGACGGGTGATGGCGTCCGCTGCTGCAGCCGCTGATGACTCAATTCTTACCAGCCTGCTCATAAGGGGGGAGGGCGTCTGGCCAATTGCGACGGCCACTGTCTCCCTCGTGTTCGGGCCTGATCCGGTCCATTGAAACATGCGAGGAGGCCCTGATGGATGCATTGTTACGCCCCTCCCACGGGCGCCGCGGGGCGGGAGGCCATCCGAGTGATGCAGCGGGCGCGTCTGTCGGGGGCGGTGGCGGCGGTGCCGTGCCCCCCCAGGCTCTGGACGCGTTCCTGGGAGCCTTTTCCCCAGCCCGCTCGGCACTGGTTAGGCGGTCGTAGATCCGTCGAGTGAACGGCGTCGGTGGGGGTGGCGAAGTCGAACGGGTCGTCGCGGCACGGGAAGTTGACTGGGGCGTAATCCCAGTCTTCTGGGAAGGTCCACCCTGGGAGGTGGGGCAGGGTGCCCTCCTTAACTGGGTCTGGCAGAGTCCAACCAAGCCATTGTGGTCTGTTGATGGTGCGCTCGGTCACCTGGTCGTAGTCTTTGCCCAAGGTCCTGGTCCAGAGCTTGCCTGGAGCGGTATGCAGTCTTGGGTCCGGCCAGCCAGTGTCTTTCTGCTTTCCTGCTTCGATAGCGTGGGCCCCTCCCAGGAGATGCCCCTTGCCGTCGCAGTGTCTCTGGCGCACCTCGCACCACCGGCGCCATTCGCGGTGGAAATGCGCCCGTCGAAGCCACGGGCACTCGCGCGCACGGAAGGGACAACGGCCGCCAAGCTTGCCCGGGCCTCCAGCCAAGGGGGCTGCGGGGGAAGGCCAACGGGCCAGTGGTCCATTATTGCTCCTCTTCGTCATCCTGCAGAGGGGGGGCGCAGCCAAAAGCCGCAGAGCACTGGTAAATGGTCGGCTGCGGACACCTGGCTTGAGCCAAGGCAGCGGGGACCTCAGTTGCCGCGGGGATCGATCGATCGGCGATCAGATCGGAGAGGAGCCAGGGTGGGGGAGGGGGGTGGAGGATTTTCCAGCTGGAACGCGGCGGCGGCCGACTCGGATGGGTCGCAGAGGTTGATCTCCGGTCTGTCGTGGAAGGAAAAATATGCTGGACGGGTGGGGGCATCGCTCGCCGATTGCATGTGCGCGGTGACCGTGCTCGCGCCTTCCTTGCGGAGGGCGTCGGCCCAGTAGACCCCGATGGTGGCGAGACTGTCCGCGGCCTTGTTCAGCCTCCGTCTGACAGCTCGCCACGTGAGTACCCAACCCGCTCCTTCCGCCTGCCCAAGGGCGTCCTCCATCTGCCGGGCAAGTTGAGCCTTCGGCACCTGGCGGCGCCCGCTCCGCATTGCACGGCGGCGAGGTTATCGCCGACGACCCTGGCTGCTCGGATCGGGCCCTTGAGGTGGGGAAGCAGGGCCAGACCAGCACGGCAGCCCGCAACTTCGGCCATTTGTGCGTTGACACAGTCCAGGAGCGCAACGACGGCGATGGCCAGGGTTTAAGGAGAGCCAGTGGTGGGGTTGTGGCGCCACAGGATGGCACAGGCGCCTGAGACCTTGTCGGCACCCTCGATGGACCTGGCACCACCATCAAAGGTAACCTCATAGGGCCATTGGGTACTATTGGAGTCGGGGAGGGGCGAGCTGCGGATTGTGACCTCGTCGCCAGGTTCCAGGCTAGTGTTAGCGATCAGCGTGGTGGTGTGAGACCCGCACTCGCGGCAGAAGACGGAGGTCCAGCTGGCAGTGGGAGAGTCATCGGTCCTGGGGCAAGGGAACCAGCCTTGTCCTGGGGGCATCCCTGCGGCCCGGGTCTGAGGCGCCTGTAGGACAGCGAGTCTATCCATTGGGTTGTGGTGTCTGGTGACCACCGGGAGCCTGCGGATTTCTCCTCCGGCCCTGCGGGCATGTCGCTGCGTATGGGGCCTGGCAGCTCCGCAGATCGCTCTTTCGGGGGTGGCGCATGGGTTGCAAGTACTGCAGGTGTCACGCATGACGGACCAGACAGACGTTTCGTCTGGGTTGTCGCTCCTGGGTGGTTCGTCCACCCCCCTGCCCCTCGTCTTCGCTGTCCCCTTGTTGGTCGATGTCGGCAACGACTCTGCCCTGCAGGATGAGCCTGGCGGCTTCGGTTGCATCCAGGGGGGAGGCTGTGAGGTTGACGCAATACCTGAAGGATACTTGGTGTAACAACTTCGCGAGCAAGGGCTGATGCTCGCCGCTGCTGGTGATGGCTTGAGCGAGGGTCCGTGGGTCGTCGGGGCCCCTGACGGTACACCAGGCAAGTGCCGCGGCTGGGCACCAGTTCCACAAGTGTTCGGTGGTTGCCTCGCCGAGCCCACGAGTGGGCAGCGTCAGCATGGTCCGTCTCTGTTGGGCGGGTGCAGGTGACCATAGGTAAGAGCGTACGCCTCTGCTTGATCTCGAAGGGAGGGGGAGCAGTCCGGGAACCAGCGATTGCCAGAGGGCGGATGGGTGTGGGCCTGGGCCGATGCATCTCGCGCACCAGGCTGCGCCCTCGTCGTTGGGATTGGCGGTGATCCACACGTTCTTGGTTGGCGCCCCACATGAACCCATGTGTGGTCTCCTTTCATCTTCACCCCTCCGTCTCGCCGAGCCAGGTAAGCCGTTGCATAGGACACGAATCACGTGGTGCGCTTCGGTGAAGGAGGTACAGTGGTGTAGCAATTGCCATTCTTCACCGTCAGATGGTTGCCATCTCCTCACCGTCAGATGGTTGCCTCTGGTCGCTGGTGGGGTCACGCGAAGCGTCAATAATTTGTAAGGGCTTCACGGATTGAGGGCGGCTCATTTCAAAATGTGGATAGCGCCTCAACCTTGCGCACATTCGTCTCAAATATGTGCAAGAGTGTCACAGATTCTCCGGGTCGACGTACCAGAAATGGTGGGTTGGAACGGTTCAGGACTGTCAGGGCGCCACAGTTGAGTTGATTCGCGGTGTTGAAATCCCAGTGATGATGCTCTGGCACAATTCAGGATCGTCGAGACGCAACAGTCAGGTTGATTCATTGCGTTGGAGTTCCGAGAACGTTGTCTTAACACTATTCAAGATGTCAGGATCTTCAAACGGCTGTCTCCCAGCGGGGCCCTTCCCTCAGTGGGCATGAATCCTTGTAGGGGCCTGGGAAGAGGGAGCTTGGAGGGAGGGTTTCTTCCACTATCGTTGATCCGTCTTGGGTTTGCACTGGTCCTCAGCCTCCTCCTCCTCCTCCTCCTCCTCCTCCTCATCATCCTCAACGAGCCTCGGCAGCTCACTTGTTCATCTTCCCCTTGCCGCCCTTGAGCAGGCCTGTGCGGCGCGCCGCGATCAAGCCGACCTTGGCACCCGGTGGCGCGTTCCGGCTGGTGGTCGTCGGGTGCCCGACATGCTGGTGGTTCCCTCCGCCGTGAGGATGCTCCACAGGGTTCATGGCGCAACCGCGCACCTTAGGCCAGCTGTTGCGCTTGACGCGGTACTTGTGGAAGTTGTTGCCAGCCTGTCTCCTCCTCCACCTCCACCTCCTCCTCCTCCTCATCATCCTCATCCTCATCCTCATCCTCATCCTCATCCTCATCCTCATCCTCCTCCTCCTCCTCCTCCTCCTCCTCCTCCATCATCATCATCATCATCATCATCATCATCATCATCATCATCATCATCATCATCATCATCATCATCATCATCATCATCGTCATCGTCATCGTCATCGTCATCGTCATCGTCATCTTCCTCATCCTCATCCTCATCATCATCATCATCATCATCATCATCATCGTCCTTATCCTGCTTCCTCTTCGTCCTCATCCTGCTCATCCACGCCCTCGTCCTGCTGCCGCTCCCCTTATCCTCCTCCTCCTCCTCCTCCTCTTCCTCGGTTACCTCGTCCTTTCTTCTGATTCTCGTCGTCATCAGTGTCCTCGTCAACTGCACTATCATCTACCTCCTTCTCCATCACCGTCTTATCCCGATACTCCTATCCTGAGTCTCCTCCTCCTCCTCCTGCCCGTCCGACTCGTCTTCTCCTGTCCAACTTCTTCCACCTCCTCCTCCACCACCGTATCCGCGTCATCCCATAACTAACCCTCCTACCGCATCATCCCCCTCCTCTTGCACTGCCTCATTATCATCCTTCTCATCTTCGCCACCATCATCCTCATCATTATCCTGTCTCCCTCATCTTCTCATCCTCCTTGTCACAACCACCACCACCACCACCACCACCACCACCATCACGTATCCATCACCATCATCATCATCAGCACCAGCATCAGCATCGTCAGCAGCAGCAGCAGCACCACCACCATCATGGACTGACCGCCGCTGCTTGCAGGTTCCGAGCTCGGACTTCTCTCGTGAGCGGTGCTCCAGAAAACGGGGCAGCGGGCGCATGGCCGGGTCGGACAGCCTGCCTTCCCAGACATCCGACGTCTCGATGTCTTTGAGACGCGGGCCCCCGACCTCCCGACCACTTCCCTGGGGCCTGCTTGTCATCCCGAGTGGTTTTTGACGGTCCCGAGGCCCGACAAGGGCCCCAAGAGGCCAAAAACTATGAAAAACCTCTGTCTCGATTTTTTCGAGACGCCCGATGTCTGGGTTGCGCGCGGCCAGAAGCGAGGAGCACTGGGCAGCCCCCACGCCGAGCGGGGACGGGCCCCGGGGCCTGGGCGACGAGAGGCGGCCGAAGGCCTGGGCGACGAGGGGCGGCGTGTGACCAGGGCCTGGTGTCAAACATCCTCTCCTCGTCCTCCCTCCCCCTCCTCCCCCTCCTCCCCTTCCTCCTCCTCCCCCTCCTCCTCCTCCTCCTCCTCCTCCTCCTCCTCCGCATCCTCCTCCTCCTCCTCCTCCTCCTCCTCCTCCCCCTCCTCCCCCTCCTCCTCCTCCTCCTCCTCCTCCTCCGCCTCCTCCTCCTCTGGCAGTGAAGCGAGGCGGCCTGGGGACTGGGAGACGTGGGGCGGCGCAGCATGCGCGCCCGAGGCGCCCAAGGTCCAGCAGAGTGATCTCGGCTTGCCGGCCAGAAGCCCGCATTGCCATGCTCATCGTCATCGTCTTCGGCATCATCACCATCATCAGAATCACCCTCGCTAGTGTTGGCGGCGCGCAGGGAGGGGGCTGGCGCCTTCTAAGAAGCAGGGGTGCTTCTAAGAAATCTTCCCCCCTCGCCCTACCCCTCTTTTGCGCGTGGCCGACATGAACCGTCACCAACGCATCCGCGTCGTCAGCAAGAGTCTGGGGCTGTCCGTCTCGCCTGTTTGCCTCACCGTCGCAGAACGAAATTGTGACCGATGCCCGTCCCCCCCGAACTATCCAGAAGCTTGGTGAGGCCGACCACCAACGCGCCCAACAGGTGAGTTGAGCCGTGCTGCGCGGCCATGCGTCATGGCTGGCATGCTTCGCTTGCACAAGACACTCCGTTTAGTATCATTAAAACTCTGTGATCTCATGCCGTTACTAAAAACAGCATCCTCCTCATCATCATAAATCATCATCATCAGCATCATCAGCATCAGCATCAGCATCAGCATCAGCATCAGCATCAGCATCATCACCACCACCACCATCATCATCACCACCACCATCATCACCACCACCACCACCACCACCACCACCACCATCATCATCATCATCATCGTCATCATCATCATAATCATCAACAACATCATCATCACCATCACCATCACCAACACCATCATCATCCGTGTCCTCCTCCTCCTCCTTTTCCTACTCCTCCTCCTCATCATCATCATCATCATCATCACCACCATCAGCATGAGCATGAGCATGAGCATCAGCATGAGCATGAGCATCAGCATCATCATCCTTCCGATCCTTATCCAGGCGTAGGGGAAGGAGGGGAAGGAGGAGGAGGCCGAGGAGAAACATGAGGAGGACGCCGACGACGAGGACGCCGGCCTTCAGCACTGGCTTGTCCATGCGGCCTCCGCCGGCCACTATGCCCACGATGGCGCGGCAAGTGGACGGGATGGTCTTCCGCGTGCCGCTGGGGAGGCGAATGCGCGTCTTGCGGTTGTCGTCCGAGTGCCCCACCACCATACAAGACGTGCCAGACGCTCGGGCGATCCTGCCACGGTCCGTCGCCTTCTCCTCGCACATGGAGACAACGGTGCCTGGAGGGAGCAGGAGATGGAGAGGAGGTGGAGGATGCCGAGCAGGAGGGAGCAGGAGGTGGAAGGCGGATGCGCTGCATCCACATTGTCACGGCGTCACGACCTGACTCCTTTTGCGCGGTCTTCGGACAGGCACAGGGACGAGCCAGAGGCATAAGCCCAACAGATCACAGAAACTGCGCTCACAGTTCCGGTGGCTACACATGCGGATCAACTCTCAACCATGCGGCCGCAGCCAGACCGCTGACAGAATTACAGAATGCCAGTCAACCCTGCGAATAGCTCGAGGCACATTCTAACAGAAATGCCAATCGATGCTGCGGCCTAGGCCCTGGCCAACAAAGTCCCGTGGTACGGAATCGAGGTCCATGGCGGCGGGGGGTCCTGTGGTGAGCGGTCATGGGACCCCGCCCACAAGGTCCCCCCATAAGCTCCCATTCATTGGGTCTCGCCTAGAAGGTCCCGCAGTGGTGGCGCTCGACTGGCGCGTGGCCAAAGGATTAAGATTCTTTCGCGTAGGGCCAAGCTTATACGGTCCCGCCTATGTGGCCCCGTGGTTGGTGGGTCTACTGACGGGAGGGCGTAAGGACCCTTCTACAAGGTACCGCCCAGAGCATCCCACCTACATGACGTTGGACTTAGATGCCGTTGCGCGGTGGATCCTCTGACTATTGCCCACAGGGCGCCGCAAGCAGTTGCCTTCGCCGAGCTGACAGCGGACGGAGATGACAGTGCCAATCTACAAGGAATGGAAGGTGAAGCGTCTACTCCTCACCCCACGGCGGCAGCTGGCTACGAGGAGGCGCGCTTGGGTCATACATGACGTAGCATGGCGCGCACATTTGGCGAATCGGACCCCCTCCTCTCAGATTGGGAAGCAGCTCCATAGTTGTTCACGATAGTGTGCCAAACGACGAACCACAAACCAGGATCAGACCAGCGACTTGATCATTGCACATACGAATATACATGCATGTGTACGTGTGTGAATGTGTATGTGCACATGCATACGTATTGCAATGTGTATATGTAGATGCATATATACACAATAGATTTGTCGACACATGTACACGCATAGGTACATCATTATGTGGACGTTTATGTGTACGCATATGCATATGCACATGTACATAAATTTGACCATGTATGGTGTACACGTATTTGTAGATGTGTATGTAGATGTAGATGCAGGTGTAGGCGTGTTCGTATGTGTATGCGTATGCGTAAGTGCATATCTAAACGTGTATGCAAATGTGGATGCGTATGCATATGAATATGGATATGTACATGCATGAGCGCATGTGGATGTAAATGTGTGCAAATTTGTATGTGGACATGTGCACGCATCTGGATATGTGCACATATGCATGCAAATTCTCATGGGCATGCAATGAATGCATGGTTTGTGTATATGTATGTGTGCATACATATACGTGCACTTCCGCATTTACATATATGGAAATGTAGATGCCCTTTTTCAGATGCAACTGCATGTGTACATGTAGATGGTAATGTAAGTGAACTTGTATATGGCTACGTACCTGTATGTGCATATGATTATGTATATGGATATGTGAAAATACATGTGTATATATATACGTATATGTATGTGCATCGTATACGTATAGCTAAGTAAGTGCATGTGTATATGTGTACGTATACGTGTATGTATAGTAAGTTGATCCGTAGACATATACGCATATGCATATGTATATGTGTCTGTCTGCGTATATGCATATGTATACGTTTACGCGTTTATATGTAGTGCAGATATGGACATGAACCTGCGCATGACAATGTAAATATGAATGCATGTGTCGGTGTGTGTTTATGTAGATGTGCATACACTTGTAGTTGGACCCGTGTGTCTGTGATTGCATGCATGTACGTATCGATATACGCAAATGTATGCGTTGTGCTGTGATGTGGCGTAGTGTGGTGTGTTATGCTGTGGCGTGGGGTGTTGTGTTGTGTTGTGGTGTGTTGTGTTGCGTGGTGTCGTGTAGTGCGGCGCTGTGTTGCGTGGTTTGGTGCTGTGCTGTGTTGTGATGCGCTGTGTTGTGTCGCGTTGCGTTGTGCGTGCGTGCGGTGCGTTGAGTGCGCGTGCGTACGTGAGTGCACGCGCGTGTCTGCGCGCGCGCGAATTCGCGCGTTCGTTCGCCTCCCCGCGGCAAGCGGGAACGCCGCATCCGCACGCCAACTCGAGTAAGCCGCGCGCCACGCAAGCAATGCCTGCGGAGGTGGCCAACGGGGCGGCGCGCAGGCGAGGCGCGACCCACTGCACAGCCACCCCTTCTCCCCCCCTTCCTCCCCCTCCTCCCCCCCCCCTCTTCCTCCGTATCGATTTTGGCTCAAGTCATTGAGCTGGCACCGGGGGTCAGCGGCCCCACAGTTCCAGGGGCGGGCGCCCGCCCCGTCGGCAACCATTCCTCCCGCGCAAGGATGGCGAGGAAGGGCGACTTCACGGTCTGCTCATGCGGCAATTGGGCATTCAATTTCCGCATCCAGCGCAACGATGGCAAATGCGCGAAGTGCGGGGCCTCAATGGAGTTATACCACAGAGCACCTCCGTGGCGGTCGAAGAAGCAGAGTTCGCGGTTCAATGCAGTTCGTCGGAGACGACTATGGGGCCCACGAAGGTCGACCCAGCAGCACTCCTCGATCAGTTGGCCTCTCTTCCTCAGTTCACCAAGGAGTAGGGAGGTGCACTTCTCACAAGATGTCATCCCAATTCACCGTGCCACGGAGCCGTTGGGCCGACACACGCGACCCCCCTCTGGCGTCGCACTGCGCGCGGACAGGTTAGCCAGGCACATGGGCGGCACCAGAAGAGCATGAGTGCAGTAGGAACTCGGCCACAAGCAAGTCCTCACGAGAAGCCCAGTTTTGAACTGCTAAAACCTACAGATTGATCCCTGCGCCCTTCCGTGTGACCGTCCTGTCTACTCCGCCACTCCTCTGGCTCTTCTCCTCCTTGCGTTTCTCTCATCGTTCCCTTTTCTGCCTATATGTATATATATATATGAATATACATATATATACATACATACACACATACATGTGTGTATGTCTATGTATACATATATGTGTATATATATACATATCGTCAGCTCCTTTCCTCTGCCCTTCTCGCCCTCCTTCCTCCCCTCCCTTCTCTCTCTTTGCTGCTTCCTTGGCCCCCCCTTTTCCCAGGCCCTCCCGCCCTCCCCCCCTGGCCCTCCCCCTCTCTCCTTCTCTCCTTCCCTCCTTGGCCCTCTCCCCCTCCTCTCCTCCCTGACCCCCCTTATTCCCCATCTCTCCTTCCTTCGTGCGCCGCGGCGGTTTCCCTCTCGAGACGCGGCGTCTCGGAGACGCCGCGACGCCGCGCCGCGCTCCGTCGCGGCGCGCGCGGCCGCCGCAGCCGCCGCGGCGCTGGCCCAGGCCGCGAGCGAGGGGGCCGGGGAGGCGGGGGGGCCGTCGACTCGCGGGACCGACGGAGGGGGGGAGAAGGGAGACGGACGAGGAGGGAGGGGGGAGAAGGGAGGGGGAGAGAGAATATTACGAAGGGGAAAGGGAGGATGGAGGAGGGGGAGGAGGAGAAAAGGGAACGACATAATGCAGGAGGGGGGGGGGGGGGACAAGACGGGGGAGGGGAGTGGCGGATCCTGCGCATCTGAAGCGGGAGGACTGCAAGGGGGGCTGATTGATCCTAGCGAATTTCCAACCTCATCATTGTCCCTTCGCTCTTCCTCATGGCCCTCCCGGTCTTTTTCTCACTCATCGTTCCCTTCTCATCCTGGGCTTCCGCTTCTCTCCTCCCTACCGCGGTCACGGTCACCCCCGCGTCCCCGCGCGGGCTGAACCCATCTTCTCCTCCTCCTATATCGTCCCTCCTCTATCTGTCCCTCCTCCTTCCTTCCTGCTCCTCGGTCTCCAGCTTGCATGTCCAATCCCCCGCCCTCGCCTCTCCCCTCTGTTTGCTCCTGCACTTCTCCCCCTCCGTCTCCTCTCTCTTCACGCTGTCCCTCGCCCCCCCCCCCCCCTCCGCTGCGGCGGGCGGATCGGGCCGTCACGGGCCGTCACGGCGGGCGAACCGGCCCCTCGCCACCACCTGTGGTGCGGAGCCGTCGCCCCCCACCCCCCCTCCGCGAACCTGGGAATCCGTCAGATTCCTGCTTCTGCTGCTTGCTGCAACTGGCTGCCGCTCCTCTTCCCCCGCCTCCTCGGACCCCCCCCCCCCCCCCCCCCCCCCCCATCCATCCCATTAATTCCACCTCCTAAATCGTCATCCTCCTTATCCACCTCCTCCTTCTCCTTCACTCGCCCCCCCTCCTCCACCTCCTCCTCATCATCCTCGCCATCCTTCTCGTGCTTCTCCACCTCGTCCGCTCGCTCCACCCCCGTCCTCCATCCGCCTCCTCATCCGCATCCTCATCCCCAGGCCCATCGCGTTCCTGCCTCCCATCCCCCCCCCCCCCCCCCCTTCTTCTCATCCGCCCCTCCTCTCATTCGCCGAGCCGACGACTCCGACCGACCCTTCGTCGTTATATTATCCTTATCCCCCTTGGCTGTTATCCGAGGCCACCCTCAGGCTGAGGGCCCCCCATCAGCGAACCGCGAAATTGCCGTCCTTCTCCGGGTTCTTCGCGCGCTCGAGGGCGGGGATCGAGCCCCAGTGTCCCGACGCCCTCCAGCAGCGCTTCTTGATGACCCGCTCGCCTCCACGGAGGAGAGAAACGCTCTCTCCATCCTCCTCGCGTCTCCCCCGTTGCTCATAAGCTTGTTCCTCGTTGCCTTCCCCCCCTCCTCTCCTCGCCTCTGCCCCTGCCCCCGCCCCCCCCCCCCCTCCTCTCCTTCGCCTCTCCTCATTCCCATGCTCTCCATTTCCTCCTCGCCGCGCCCTTCTCACCTTGGATTATTCCTCTTATGCGTTCCCTGTCCTCCTGGCGACGACGGCAGCGACGGCGGGCCTTTCTCCGCCTCCGCGCCCTCCTCGCAGAGGCTGCCCTCGAACTTCTCGTCCTCGTCCTGGGCCAGGGGGGCGCAATCTACTTTCCTGAACCCGATGTGCTAGCGCACCTTTCCCGGGCTCGTCACCAACCTCCTGCGCCCCACCCTCCTCGTTGCCCCACACACACACACACGCACGCACGCACGCACGCACGCACGCACGCACGCACGCACGCACACACACACACACACACACACACACACACACACACACACACACACACACACACACACACACACACACACACACACACACACACACACGCCCCAACCGCCACCGACTCTTCTCTTTATGTTCCCTGACCGCCCCCCGTGTCCAGCTCGGCCTCCAAGGGGGCGAGGTGCGGCATCACGCGCGCGACCTTGCGCTTCAACACCTCGACCCCGAAAGGTTTGCACCGCAAGCCGCGCGCGGGCTTCAGGGCCTGATCGCTCTGCCCCCCCCCG